TCAAGTGTATACGCGGCTTTATGTTCAACACTTAGGCTAGGATAAAAGGAAATGTAAAGGATTTATGGTCCATCAAAATGGACAGAGCTAAAGGGTGAATTTTTGGAGGCGGGAGAGGGCCATCAAAAAGTTTTTAAAGATATTTATTTATTCTATCAACAAAAAGATATTTGTAAATGAACAAAAGTATTTGAGTAAATCAGTTGCCTTAGAATCATATTATGATGTGGTTGTGTGCTCATGCTGCGCTGCTCAAAGCTCAAGTATTTTTTTAGTTGGTCAAATTCATTGTTAAGAAAATATATACTGAGTAATCTTAAGATTGAAATATGCTATTTCATAAGCCACCTAAGACGTAATTAATAAAAATAAATACACTAAAAAGCAGGGTTTGAAATCTATAATTATTTTTTCCACTAAATCATGTAATAATTATTATATTTAGTTTTTAATTATAAATCATGGCTGATTTTTAAATACAAATTTAAATGGATCTTTTACTTTTATTTATTTGATTAACATAAAGATCACTAACTGAATGATACGGTTTTAAATAAATAATAATAATTGTAATCAAAATAATTGTAATAAAAAAAAATCACTTTTTCCACACAAATTAAATAAAATATTAATATGTATGTATACGTTATTAATATACAATTTTTTTATTATAATATTTCTGAAATCGCTTTAATTGTGCACGCGGTACGTCCACAATATATATGTATATATATTTTTTTTTATTATATCTTTTTTTTTTTTGGAAGCCAAAATTTCTAATGAATTTTGGAAATATAGATGTTTCATTAGTAAAAGTCGACCACATCATTCTCCATCTACTACTCTAAACTCAAAATATATCATAGATTACAAAAAAATTATATTTCTTATTTAAAAAAAGTATTACTCAAGAATTTGATCTTGAGGATTACTCAAGAATATGATCTTTATAACTTATGATTAAAAACAAAAAACGCACTTAATAAAAATCATCTAATGATTTTTAAAAATTTTCCTAAGATTTGATTTTGATTTTTACATTTTAATCATCGATTTCAAACCCTGCTAAACTTTAAAAGATGAATATTAAAAATAAGTCCTTAATTTTCTGTCGAAGTTCAATTTTACATTTTCTAAACTTTTTCAATTCAGTAGGATCCAGTTTTTTTCCTTTGTAGTATTCACTTTACTCTAGACATCAGCCAGTATGTTTCAACTTTTACTGAAAAAAAAAAAAATGTTTCTACATTCTCATTTACTTATCAAAAAATAAATATATACACATTTTAAGTGCTAATTTACATTTAATCCTTATATTGTTTATTAATTTTAAATGTTACCTCCGTTCTCCAAAATCTTCGTATGAACTTTTAGTGTTTCTATCCTTACATACCACTCAATTTATTTTACATAATTACACATGTTTTTTCAGATGGATATATTTAAAACCTGGGACTCCTTAAAACCTTCCTCTAGTTTAAATAAATAGATCCGATTTCTATTTTGTTGCAAATTTTATTTCCTTGTGTGTAAAACATCAAAATCGATTATCTATCAATTTCCCGATCTTTGGAATGATGGGCAAGTACGCGTGGAAGTCAGGGCAGTCGCGTGGGTGGTTATACTTCTGATGATATGATGAGTATAATGATATGATGAGTATAATGATATGATTATACTTCTGTAAATACAATAAAGCATTATCTCCCGGCCTTGCAGAACCTTAAGATATTAAAGTTGATTCAGAAATGAAAGACAATGCACTAGATGTGTATAGTACGTACAACAAAGTTCTATCTACCGATCTTACATATATGCGTCTTCTTAGATCTTTGTTTACAAATACGTTAGCCTTGGGGATGACTAGACGTGACAGAAGTTCGTCTTTATAAAACCTATTTCTACTTAGTAATTTTATTTATTTTGGTATTTTATTCTAAATTTTATGAATTAAATAAGAGTAAAGAATTTTATAATGTGAAAAATGCAGGGAGATGAAGATGGATTAAGTTTTGATAATTGGAAAAAACAAAATTAATAAAAATTTGTAGGCAAATGTCCAGTTGGTGAAAAGCATTTGCGGATCTACGGGCTGGAGGGGTAGGAGGGGGGGGGAGGACTGCTTTCGGGTTGAAGCCTCCCTCTCATTCTATTTGACTGATTAAGTTTGGATGACAAGGGCAATTCAGTCCGATTGTTTTAATTAAAAAAAAAAAATAGATTTCTTCCCTTAAAAATGGCCTGAGGGCTGAAACGTTAGGAAAATTATGTTGGACTGTAGTGATCAAAACGAGTATTTTTTTTAGTATTATTTTTCTTATGAACAGTTTGTTTTTTTAAATATATATTTTGATAGGGCTTCAAGGACCATCCAAACAAGATTTTATATTTATTTATTTTTACAATGGTTTATTTACCTATTGGTCATAGACAAATAAACCACTATAAAAAGAACAATGATCAAAAAAGTATAATGAAAAGATATTTATTTTTATTTTATTCATTTTGCCTATTTTTGGTGTCTTGAGGTTATCATTTTTCATAAATTAAAATAAAGGTGGAATATGGCCTTTAATTTATGAAATATTTTTTTCACTCAGTTATTACAGTATATAGTAATTACAAGTCGTGATTTGAAATATTCGGTTGCACTACTATGATTAATGATACTTTACCGAAATTAATGATCATTTTTATATTATATAAGATTTCTTTCAATATATTATATACAGTGCCGGCCTTAGACATTCACCTCCGGGAAATAACGTCATCTCCCCCCTCCAAAATCTAAATTTATTTCTCAAGCTGTTTTGTATAGTGTAATATTTGAATTCCATTTTATTCAATATTTCTCTAATACAGTTGCTTTATTGATAGGATAATATTAATTATTTTAATATGGTATGTAGGTTTTATTATTTCTAACAAGTGGCTAAAACGAAAAGTCGTACGCAACTGAAATTGTGTTATGGTAGGTACTTGCCTGGGATGTTACTGCAACTTTTTCATCAAAATCGGCCTACCGTAAAGTGTCACATTATATCTTGGATTTTACACATTTTTAAAACTTTCTCGAAAAAGGCTCGAACAATTTTTAATCGTGAATTCATTATACCACTGTAACAGTAAGCGGTTTTAAATATAATGTAGGCATTATTCTCATTGATATTCTTTAACAGCGTTTAAATGCCCAATTTTCAATTTTAGTATATGTACCGCGATCCTTCCAGTCCAAAGTCCTTCGAACAATAGTTGATGCTCCCTTCTATGTAATCAACAAAACCCTACACCATGACCTTAATATCCCATTTGTCTTAGACCTTATCCCAGAAAAATACTCCACATTTCACCAGAACCTTACCTATCATCCAAATCCCCTTGCACAATCCCTATCCAGCACCACCCATCCATCCCAAGAATCCTCCTCGAAGGTTGAAGCGGCAGTGGCCCAGAGACCTTTTGTGAATAAGTATACATCGGAGTATGGCCAGATTCTCCACTCAAGTCATGTATGTGTGATTATAGCGCCTCTGATCAGCCTCTACTGGTCCTTAATACCACTAATGCGGCTGATTTAGAGGCGCTGGGATCTTCTAGAATCATGCCTTTCCTTCCTCGAGTTGGGAGAAAGGCTAGGCTCGGAGATGAATGATTTTTTATTTTTATTTATTTTTTTGGTCATTGTATAGAAACGTGTGTGCATGTGAGTAGTTGTTTTTATTATTTTGGTTTATTTTTGTTTGGTTTAGCTTATATACATTTACTTTTAGTATTATTGTTTTTTCTGTATTATTTATTGTTGATAGAGGGTGAATGTGCTCTCTGAACATTATTATAAATGCCCTTATTTGTGAAAGATTCTAATATCTCTCAATAAATATAGTTAAATAAAAAAAAGGAATTTTTCCAAATTTCTTCGTCTAAAGTACCTCTAGTATTTATTTATGTGAAATAATTAAAAAATGGTTAAATATATTGAATGAATAAAATTTAGTGGAAACTAAAGGAGAAATAAGGGTTGGAAGCTATATGAAAACAGCCGAGAGTTCCCGACCTTTACCAATCCTCTCTCTTTACAGATACCCCTTTGTACAGGGCTTTCATATTGTTAGTTTAACTGTTATATATCATTATCAATAATTTTTTTATAATTTTTTCACGGCAAATGTTGAGGATTTACTAATATACAATATTTACTAGCATTAAGTTTTTTTCAACTTAATCTTGGAGTGCAAATCCCTTCTCTACGATCTAACACTCCGAGGCACCAATGTGGTCCTTCAGTGAATTCCGAGCCATTGCGGTATTCCAGGAAATGAGGAAGCGGATAGTCTCGCCAGGAGGGGAGCTGAATTGCCACAAACAGTCCATCCAAAATCCTACGATTCAATTCGGCGAATGGTGAGGATGATAGTGAAGGAGGAAACAAAAAATATGCGCAAAGACAAGATGGAAGGGAAACGTTATGGATGTTTGATGGAAAACCCGATCCCAGCAGACCTACCAAGAAGAGATGCAGTAGCCTGCTTCCGCCTGGCCACTGGTCACGACTATCTACAAAGTCATCTGCACAAGATAGGCGTGGCTGAGGATCCTAGATGTAAATTATGTAAACAAGCGGAAATGGATGCAGACCACCTAAACGAATGTCCTGCTTTGACGGATATAAAGAATCAAACACATGTAAATGATTACATACAAAAATCAAAATTATATTGGGCAGCAAGATGTCGGATGGTCGAATGACCAATGACTATGGCATAGGGAAAAAAAAAGTTTTTTTCAACGATTTTGTTATAAATGTTTCTTATTAAAGTTTTATTAGGATTTTTTTTACTGGTGAATTAGTTGCATTCCTCTGTTTAGATTTGAGGGGGTTTGCTTTCTTTAACTGATCAATACGAATATATTTAAATTGAAAGATGTATTTTACTTAAAGAAAACAAAAAATGTCAAGTTGTCATTATAGCCCTTGGCCGCTGCATTTCGAAACGTATTTACTAATGTTGAATATTTATAATAACCTCATTGAGTAAAAATTCACCATTTTCTGACGTATAAAGTGAACCACTTCTACAAACAATGTAAGTAGAATTGAGCAAGTTTCTTGTACTTTGAGAAATCTTTATTTTCATTGGTAAACTAGATGCTTCAAGAATAATGGCTGTTTTAACTGAGGTCCCAAAAATACAAAATTTAGGCACTTTGAGGCCCACGATCCCAGCTACTGCCGGCCCGGTATTGATACCGATTCTTACTTTCAAGCTGACTCCTAAAAAAAAATTAATAAATATAAATTAAATTGTAAATTCATATTTACAGATTATTTGAATTGTTTTACCTGTTTCAGGATTCTTAATAGATTTAATGGTTTCAAGCATGTCTAGAGCTACATCACAGACTTTATCTGCTGAAGGGACTCTCTTGCTGAAAGTATTAGAAACCACCATATAGGCATCACCTACCGTTTCTATCTAAAAAATATTCTAAAGATTATATGTGTACGTACATTTAAATTAGCTATATTAAATCATGATGTCGTCAAGAAGGAACAGGAATTCCATTACAAGAACGATTGTACATAGGAATGAATGCGTTTAGATTTACTTATTGATTTATTTCTTATTTCACTTATATATGTTATTCTGTTTTCATATATACTACTAATTTTTTTATTTCCCTATTAAACTTATATATGGTATGAATGAACACATTTAACCTTAATACTTATTGCCTTCAACGTGCTAGATTGTATTATTTACTATTCCATAAAAAAAAAAAAAAAAAAAAAAAAAAAAATATGCCTTATAGATGAGGCCTTCTGATCATGAGTATACATCCTCGATTCAGCCTATATAAGTTAGTTCATATCTATAAATATATACACATTTATCACTTATTCTTTTTTTAGTTGTTAAATAATCTTAAAAATCAATATTAAAAAAATACAAAAATGTTTACCAAACATTAGTGTTGCTCAAATGCGAGATCAAAACGAGTCTTGGTCTTGCGCAAGAGTCTCGCAATAGTCTTGCAGTTACCTATTAGCTTATTTTATTCTTTTTTATTTATTATAATGGCGCTACGGTCCTGCAAGAACCCGGGCCTCCTCTACTACAGCTAACCAATCTCCACGGTCTTGTGGTACTTCCCTCCATCTTCGAAGGCTCACCCGGCTCAGGTCGCCTCAACATCCTCCAGCCATCTGATCCGAGGGTGCCCTCTACTTCTTTTGCCATCCGGTTTCTCATGCAACCATTCATACCATATATATACATCTTCTTTGGCCTGGCATTCTTTCCACATGACCTAACCATCTGATTCTGGCTCTTTTTATCAATGCTACAATATTAGGTTCACCATAGAGTTCCCGCAGCTCTTCATTATTTCTTATTCTCTAAATTATATTCTTAAAGATTCCGCCCCATATTCTTCTCAATACTTTCCTCCCCCAGGAGTTGAGCGTGCGTTTTGAGTGTTTGGTTAAGATCCAAGTCTCACACCCATGCATAACCACTGGTCTTACTATGGTTTTGTATATGAGAATTTTGATTCCTTTTTAGAGAGTGATCTGAACTTCAAGGCTCTTTGCAGTGAGAAATAGCATCTATTTCCTGCTGCAATCATGGCGTTTATTTCACTCTCTACTTTATTATTGCATGTGACCAGGCTTCCAAGGTACTTGAACTGGCCAACAGACCTAAACTTGTGATCCCTTAATGCTATTTCTGTACTCATTTCCTTTTCCATTTTTGAATTTTTCATATACACCGTCTTATTTTCGTTGACTCTAAGGCCCAATTTAGCTGCTGCTTCTTCGAATTCCTGAAACGTTCCTGATAATGCTGCTTGGGTTTTAGAGATAATGCAACATGATCGGAATATGCCAGATGTTGAGACATAAGATTGTAAATTGTTCCTCCTGGATTTGTTCGAATAGAACGAATAGCCACTTCTAAGACAAGATTAAAAAGAAGGAGAGATAGAGGATCATGTTAGCTTATTACTATTATAGATATTACAGTAATTTTTTAGATAGGAGAAACATAACTAAGCCCCAATGAAAAATTAGAAGAGTTAAATGAAAAAATATATTGGTTATACCAATTCTTTATATATAGTAACTAAAATTGTTAAGTATAAGTAAATATTTTTCCTTAATTTTTATTCAAAAAAACGATTTTTTTTACCAGTCTTGGTCTTCGTTTTGCAACAGTCAGGCAGTCTTGGTCTTGGTATTTGCAATTTTGGACGCTACTAGCAAAGATGGTAACACAACATAATTTTAATGGAAAAATAACTATGCTTACTTATGGCTTACTTTGCATACACCATGCTTTGCAGTTAATCTATCGTATCCAGAATACATTGCGTTTAAGGTTGTTACTACTTCCATTGGTTTTAATGTAGAACATACGACTGTAAACTTGACTATATCCGATACCAGTATTGTTACGTTTTCGATCACCTACAACAAGAAATTTTCAGATTGTCGGTAATTCAATTTAAATTGTGAATTAAGAGAATGAAAACAAATCTCCTGGATATTTTATATTTACATACAATACTTTCCCCGTTATTATGATAGAAATAAAATGTTATGAGAAAGAACTCAATTTACTTTACAAGAATCCAAGTCAATGATCCCCCTTTTCAGACTTAGAGCTGACTGTTCTGGGACCAAGTAGTGTAGAATAGTTTGAGTCCTCTTCATTTCCTCTTCAAGTTTTACTAGCGATCTTTCCAATCTTTTTTGTTTCTCTTCACCTTGTTCAAAAGTCAATTTGTATTCCAGGGTCTGCTGAGCTTCGGCTAACATGTAATCTCTGTGAATGAAATTACGATGTCAATAATTAATAATAAAAAAAGCCGCAAATATGGCTTAATAATAAATATATATAATTTAAAAGTATATAATTTCCAACCGTGGAATAGTTGGAATTAGTCAAATCGTTCAAATCCTATTAATACCTAATTTAATAGAATTTTTGGAAACTGATATGCATCCATGAATTCAAATATAAACAGTGTGGTGATGATTATACACCACCAAGCACAGGCGGATCTAAGCGGGGGGAGGGGTTGCTTTCGGGCCAAAGCTCTCCAAATGGTAAAATGTAACCATGTTTTATGGAAAACAGATATCTCTTAAACTATTATTGTTCGTGTAATTACATTTAATAAAGTTTCAAGATTCACTTAAACACCATTCCATATAGGTAGTTAAAATCTTTCTTTTTTTTCAAAGTAATTATCGTTTTTTATATATATATATATATATATATATATATATATATATATATAGATTTCGGCAAAAAATTTCGGGCATAAGTCCGTCCAAATTTAAATCCTGGATCCGCTAGTGCCACCAAGAACACGTGTGGATCCAGTGGGAGGGGGCTAAGGCCGGAAAAAATACGTAAGCCCCCTTTCCTTACTTCTTGGGAGATTTTGTACAAATGTTCAGGGTGGTGCAAGGGTGGTTTTCATTGGTTCTTAACTTCAAAATAACTGGTAACGCCCTAAAAGGAACCAGTCACTTCACCCCTTACTAGTTACCAGTTACTCTGAGGAACGGTTTTCCCTAGAACCCCTCCTGTACTGCTCTCCCCCTTGACGCTGTTTTTGATGTCACCATATTCCATCTTCGTTTTCGGCATCTCATAATAATTCCAAAAGATTATTTCCTGCTATGTTCAATACACAACAAACCCATGTATTACTGCAATTAAATGTAAACACGTATAAAAAATATATATATCTCTAAGATCATTATTCTTTTTGTTCACTTTTATTTTTTTCACGGACCACTTAAACATTATTTTCAACAGGGTGCCTCAGTCAGGGGCGAGGAGAGGAGGGGGTTGATCTTAGACAAAATTTACAACAAATCAATTCAGGTTTGATGCTTTGGCTGATTCGAAACGGAAAAGGAGTTTGATCAATAGGTCACGTTTTTTATTGAATAAGAAGTAATTGCTCAAAAAATGTTCAAGATAATATGATTCTATGTAAACGAACAACGATTAAATTTATTAAGGTTAATGATAAAAAGGACTTTCATGAGTTCTGATGCGGCCGCTGAACAGAGATAATGCTACTCGTGTATGGCTACGGTAGTCGAAGCAATACAGTGGCCGTATCAGACCTCCTGAAAGTCCCTTTCATCATTGACCTTAGTAAATTTAATCACTGTTTTCGCAAAAAAGGTCTACTTCACGATGACGTACTTAGATTTATCTCGACCAGTTTTTGAGAAATTCCTAATAAATCGGTAAAAAAACTGACCACACAAGATTGGCCTTAACTCCTTTTCAGTTAGGAATTGGCTCATACAGCAGATGAATTTTTTTTGCTGGCAGAGTTAGGCTATTAAGAACTGAAACAACCTATATATTTTCTGTCTTAAAAAGCCTCCCAAATTTATTCATGGATTTGGATTTGATTCCCGGAACGATGTTTCTATATCAGCTATATAACATTTGGCTCTTATTCTAAAATTAAGTAGTTTAAAGATACTGACCTACTCGAGTCGTGTATTGCTAAATCACTGATGTGTAAACCCAAAGAGGTCAAGTTACTAAGTGTAGGTACGACAGGGACGCCCATGAAAATCACTGATTGCCATTTTCGTACAAAAAAAAGTTTACCTGCAATTATACATGTAAGTTATAGAAAACAATGAGTTATTTAGTTATGAAGAATCAATAAATGTTTGCGGGTAGTTAAACTGAAGGTTTTTCCCAACTAATATCCACGAACTATTTTTCTTCAAATCTTTTCATTGAAGAATCAAGAAGAAGAAATAAATGTTTTTTATATTTCTTTACAAATTTACAATATAAAATTATTTTACATACGATTACGGATGCCTCATTCTTAAATCAAACTAATTTGAGTTGGTTTATGAATGGTTAGTTTTTTTTTGTAAAGATATAACATTTTTTTTAGTGTATCCGATCTGCTTTTTATACCACTATTGCTAATGCAATTAATCTTGTAATGGAAGTTTTTTTTGGGTTTCAGCCCCAGGCTGCTAACTAAGCAAATATGCATATGGCTCCAAGTTCAAGTGAGCCGGACCTCATAGATTTTAAGATGATAAGACTAATAATTAAATAAAATAATAATATAAGTGTATATGAAATTATCCTCTTTGCACAATCATTGACCAAGAAACAGTACCTATAAAGAACTGAACCTCAGGCTAACCATCGGTAATCATCCATAATGACCTTAATGTTCCTTATGCTTCTGACCTGGCCCAATCCAGATACCTATGCTTCCATAACAAACTTCAGAACCATCCTAACCCTCTCTTTTCTAACCTTGCTTCCTTTTCGATCCCTGACAACCCTCCAAAGAGTCTGAAAAGAAGATGGCCTCGAGATCACCTTTTGTAAATGCATTTTTAGAGTGCTACCAGTGGGTAGTTTCTCAACAAGTGATTACATGCTAGTATATTCTTTTGTTCACATTTACTGAATGTATTTTTACTTGTAATACAGTTGTAAATATCATCAATAAAAAAAAAAAATAAATAAACCATCGGTAGTAGATGTACAGTTTTATATACAAATATATACAGGGTATCAAATATATATCAGCTGAAATGGATGATCTATACTGTAATTTCCCGGTCAATGGTTGTGCAAGGAGATGATTTGAGCGAACCGCCACATTTCCCCCCTTAATTAATCAAGAGTACCCACTTTATAGGTGTACCCCAAGAAGGTCCCTCGACCCCAGGGTCGATTAATGACTATAAATGAGTGTATCAAAAAGTGTTATTTGCAAACAGAAACACCTTGGCGCTACAGATCGATATGGTCCTTGGCCTCCTCGATAAGTCTTCACGAAGTAAGGCCTCTCTTGTGCGCCACTCGCCAGTAGCAGATGTTGAGTAGGTTGTGGGCATCAGTGTCCTCCTCCCATGTCAGCCGAGGTCTTCCTCTTCCTTTCACCTAGTGGAACATCCCATCCAGCAGTTGTTGGGTGTTCTTTGGAAACCTTGTTTTTATCCGCGCTTTAGCTGCACCTGTCTTAAAAGCTACAACTTATTCCTCTGTAATTTTTTTATCAGCTTAGCCCTGAGAGGAATTTAAGCCGTTTTATATTGGAGACCCTTCATAACAAGAGGTTTGAATTGTAAAATTAAATATGTATTTGGATTTTAAAAAATTTATTAAACATACCTTTTAGCCTTAGGTATTTGCTATCTTGTGCGTTTGTTTCTATATTTCCACGCTTGTTTTCAAAATTAGTTGAAAGGATTTTTTTGCTGACAAATAAATCAAACACATGATTTGAATAGATCATAATCTGCAACAAATTTCAGACTTTATTATTTACTTGTTTCAAATGAGTTGATTAAATAATAATTCACTTCATGGATTAATTACGCTTTTAAATTCCAATGGAACCCATGGGCGGTTCAGCTGAAAATTTCGATTTATATCATCTTCTACTGCGAACGGAATAACTGGTAGCAAAGAAAATCCCATACCTTTTACCACCATACTCGTGCTGTAATAAAACAATAACTATAATAATTTAAGTAAAATGTTTATAAACATTTTTTTTTACAACTAACCTTATTATTATAGAGAATGGAAAAATTCTTCCAACTATTCTCGGATTTATTGGAAAATTTTTTGGATGAAAACAACGGACATCACGTGGCAAAGTTAGTGGATTTTGAAAATAAATTTGTATCGTTAGTTTTGTTCCAAACCTGCACTCTTCTTCACTTACTTCAGCAACTGTAATATCCTAAAAAGTTGATAAAATTGTGATTAATATTTTGTCACGAATTGGATATAAAACAATAATTTGGGACAGAACAACTTGGACAATATCTCTCTCATTACCAATTACTTTAAATCTCAAGTGCATAATAATCATACTGTAAAAGGTCCTCGGAACTTATTCAATAAACTCAATTTATGATTTATATTATCAAGTTTGGGCAAATATTTATGTCTCGAAATTGTAAAGATGAACTATCTGAGAATTTTGATATCTAGTCTAAAAATAATTGATAACCCAGACATGTTGAAGGATTAACTCGTCCTGGAAGGACGTTGCAAAATGCTTCGAGTGTTAAGGTTTTTGACATATCGCAGACTTACTTCTATAACCTCGTAAGTTCAATTTAATAAATACTAAATTATTTTAAGTGACTGATGCTCAATTATTAAGGAAGAGTTCAAAACAGGTACCCCAGAGCCCATCAGGAAATAAGACTAAGCTTATACTATGTGTCCGTTATGTTTTTAACAAATGATTTTTCAATATAGAAGAGAAAAATAACCAGAAGCATAGTTTTTTTTCCTTGTTTAAAATTTTATGGTTTGACTAATGTGTTAACCCGACCAAACAGGAATCGATTTTAGACATAGGAATACTACGTGCCTACAATAATAATAGTGAACTTATTCATTCTTATGTTTTTATTAATAAATTGTGTAAGATTCAAACTATTTTATGTTCTTACAAGACTATTACAATACGGACCTGGTGCTCTGCAGTATTTATCAATGTCTAAGTTTAGAGAACCGTTCTTTTAAATTATTTTTAAACACTTATACAGAAATATTACAATTTGTCACAGTTAAGGACACTTATAATAAAGTTCAGAGAGTACATTCATACCGTATATCTTTTAAATTATTAAAATAAACTTCAAGTTGCAATACCTTTTTATAAACTGAGATTCCAATTTCAGTTATTATCCCTTTTGCATAAGAAATCAATTCTTTCTCCTTACTGATACAAATCAGTCTCAATCCTGTTTTATTTTCAGCTTCTTTAGTGAATAATGGAGATTCGTCTTTTGGAAAAGAAAATTTTAAATAATCCTGAAAATTATCGAATCCTAAAAACAAAATTTAATTTAAATCAATCCATTTTATTAAAAGAAACGAATCTTCGATAGTTTGTTTCTTAATATTGTTTACCTTGCAGAAAGTTTCTAAAATCTCTCCCAAGCGAAGATAGGATTGATTCATAGTTCGACTCTAAAAGGTATCTGATAAAATGTCTTCCAATCATTTCATAAAAATCGCTGATTGATGTTCCTGTAAACTAACATCTCGATATCAATTATAGTTATTTTTTTGTTTATCTGTTTGTAAAATGTATATAGGATATGAGTCTATTTAGTTTAAAAGTTCTTTCTAGATCTAGGTAGATATAATGGTACTTTTTTTGAAAGATTATATTTAGTGGTTAACAGACGACGAACGAGCTATACTTTAATATTGCCCGAATGTATGATTATATTGACATTACCTATATTGAGCATATAGTTATTGAAAATACATACATGTTTTTGTGGTGTGTAATTTTTAGTATAACTGAGTAAAATATAAATTTTATTATATTGATTTGTTTGTTTATTTAAATATATTTGGGTTCAGGTCCTATGATCATCATTGGGATACACACGTATGAAAAAGTAATAATGTATTATAATAGGATTAATTAATTATATTAATTAATAATAATTAAATAAATTAAAAATATTGTCGGATTTACATCCTTTCGGGCTTAATAATATAATTTATTATATATTTTATATTAATATCTGTATATTTTCATTCTTGGGCCGCTGGCATCATTTACTTCGTCCCTTCCTGACGGTGATCGGGTTGTCTCCAGGCAGAAATTGAATACTAGTGGTCAGTAATTGCTCCCCACTCTCTCTCTTTCTAACTTTCCCACGGAGCAAGCGACTGGTTCCAGGGTCCAGAAACCATCACCAACCCATCCAACAGCCCATTGGTTACGCCTTACGTAACCTTAAAGTCACCAGCCCATCGCCTATGTCTGACCCAATCGCAAAATCTACAGCCCATCATCTATATCTGTTTGTACTGGAGGAGAAGCATAAGAAAACGGCTTCACATGCCAGAAAAATAGTTATTACCGAAAAAATGAGACCTCTCTTATTTCTGTATTTTATAACTATTTACTGGTTTACTAGCTTCATAACATTAATGGCCCTTCAAGGATAAAAGTTTGTATAAAAATAAAGGGAATTACAATATTAATTGTTTAAATTCAGTTATGCAAATCTCGTTTCAAATATCTCAAGAACTATTATTATATATTCACACAAGAAAAGGATTCTCTGTGATATTACACCTGCTGGGCCCAATATATATATATATTATATATATATATTATATATATAATATATATATATATATATTTTTTTTTTTTTTTTTTTTTTTCGGTTGGCTCAGACCTTGTAGATCTTTGTCCGCCTGAACCAGCCTTCTCCATCTCTGTCTATCTTGAGCTACTGCTTTCCAGTTTTTGGCATGAAACTCAGCCGTATCTTTGTCTATCCTATCTATCCATCTGGTTTTTGGCCTTCCCCGTGGTCTCTTGCCTACTACTCTGGCATTCATTGTCGAGTAAAGGAGTCCTGATGGATTGCTACGAGCTACATGCCCTGCCCATCTTAACCTCCTTGCCTTCATGTCATGAGATATTGACTGACCCATTTCTTTCAGCAGTTCTTTATTGTTCCTTCTCCCCCATTTGTCAAGGTTCTGGTCCCATATAGGTCCTGTTATCCTACGTAGAATCTTTCTTTCGAATTTCTCAATTATGGCTTCTAATGTGCCGGTTAGAGCCCAGGTTTCACAACCGTACAGCAGAACTGGCTTAATCACGGCGGTGTACACCCTTATTTTGAGATTTCTGGAGATTATTCTGGATTTCAGTACCTTTGAAAGAGAGAAGAAAGATCTGTTCGCACTTGTTATTCGCTTGTCTATCTCTGTTAGTTGATCATTTATTGAAGTTATTGTGGAGCCGAAGTATTTGAATTTGTCTACTTTCGAGAATGACTTATAGTCCACGCAGATCATGTTATTAGTGTGGTTGTTTCGGCTAACATCATGTATTTTGTTTATCTACATTGACCTGTAGTCCGATTTGCTCTGCTTCTTTAACTTAATAGAGTCCGAGCGAGTCTCTCAATATCCTCTTGATTACTTCCGAGGACAGCTATATCATCGGCATATGCTAGGATTTTATGTTTCATTCCAACGTGCACCCCTCCATCTTCGCGTGATGTTATTCTTATTACTTTCTCTAGTGCTAAGTTGAACAGCCTCGGCGAGAGTCCATCTCCCTGCCTCAAACCTGTTCGAACTTCAAAGGCTTCAGCTACTTCTCCTTGTATTAGTGCCCTGCATACCCCCCGGGTATGTGAGACCCGCCAAATCAACTGGAGACAACTCACACCGACTGGACGTAGGACTGATGACCCTACCCCGTGTACTTAAATTGTGAAAAGGGATGTGGTTTAGCAGGTTGTTAGTAGCCACACAGAGGTTTGGTCCATGGACGGTCTGTTTCGGGAAAAGAAATATAGGTCATCGTGCGCCTGCTGACTCTGAGTAGCCATAATTCATGGATCTAGACCGATTTGTCACCCTTGAACCCGAGTGAGTCGGTGGGGAATCACTGCCAGATTGGCCCCATAGGGATCGGCTATGGAGCTATAGGTGGCCAGTCAGGCCATCTGTGCTCCTGCAAGCAGCATACGTCTGTAAGGAGACCACATCTCGCGGCCAAAGATCTTAATGGTTTGTACCAACCGAAAAAAAATATATATACATTATTTTATATACATTATTATACCGGTATTCGGAGCAATCCAAATACCTATGCTTCCATAACGACCTTCAAAACCATCCGAACCCTGTCGTTTCAAACCTTGCTTTCTCTTCGATACCTGATAACACTCCAAGGCGTCAGAAAAGAAGATGGCCTCGTGATATACTTATGTAAATATATTATTATAGTGGTACCAATGGATAGTTTCCCAACAAACGTTTTCATGTGATTATATTATATCTGTGTACACATTTCCTAGATGTATTTTTATTTTACAGTTGTAAATATCATATATAAATAATGAAAAAATAGAAATTAAGAAAATTTTCACGACCATTTTGAATTTATATCTTAGGTTCTAATTGGATTATGGAGGTCGGTTTTATCCCATTTCGTGTAACATATAGAATATTAATCTCTAATAACTTTTGTGTGGATCGGAGGAGCGATTCTAAAGTATCATAATTTTTTCGGTTGCTGACAAAATTTAGTGCAGAAAATTTTAATTTTTCTATTGCTATTAAAATTCTTTTTTTTTTTGTTTATTATTTTAATGGAATTTACAATCGTATTACATATAAAATACAATAAGTAAATGTGAAATTGGTAACATGACATGCACAACATGAAAAGAAACTACCCATTGTTAGAACTCAAATAAAATTCATATTTGTGGATTTTTTGAGGTGCTAAAAACGAATATCAACTTTGTTTCTCCCTAAAAAAATGTTTACGCCCACATTGCTACATCAGCTGGACTAAATTGTGCCCGTATTGTAGCTATCTGCTAAACATATTATTTATCCAAAACCGGTCTGGTATCTAGAGTAAATGTTGTTCGTTTTTCGTAATTAAAAAAATCCTTAAATACGAATTTTTACAGCAATCGAATTAAAATATTTAGTACGAAATTTTTGACTAGGCTGGATCATTCGAAATTTCCTTAGTAATCATAAAAATTGTGATAACTTTAGAACCGGCTCCACCGACCCACACAAAAATTATTACTGATTTAGGACTCTATATATGTCACGAAATGGATAAAACCGACCACTAAATAACGAATTAGAACCTAATATATAAAATAAAAATGATTAAGGAAGTTTTTCTTAATCTCTAATTTAAACAGCAGTGAAATATAAAATTTGGAATCGATGTGGGCTGGAAGAGTAGTAATTCAAATGTCCAACGGTTGAACTAACGTTGAATTTGGATAAAATCCTGAAGTTATTGTAAGAAATTATAATTGCTTTAGTTATTGGCAAAATGAAAATTCCTATCAAAATCCTATAAAAAGGTCAAGTATTACATTTTGCAATTTTTGGTTAATATAAGAATTTGTATTTTAGAGTTTCAAAGAACACTAAAAACGAAGCTAACTTGTTTTTTTATAACTATCCGGAAAATACATGAACAAAGTCTCAGTTAACAATAATAATAATAATAAAAGGCTTAGCGAACCTTAAGGTTCGATGCCGACACCATCAATCGCTTATTACACACCTCCCTCCACCGTTCGCCGTCCAAACCCAGTCCCTTCAGATCGGCTTTAATGCAATCTTCCCACCTTCGCTTCGGTCTACCCCTCGGACGCTTACCATTCGGCACAGCAAATATTAACCTTTTAGGAATTCTCTCGTTACTAAGCCCAACAACTTTACACGCCCATTTGATTCGCCGCGATGAAATTACTTCAATTATATTACCCGGATACAGCTCACGCAATTCGGCGTTGTGTAACCGTCTGAACTCTCCGGTTAACTCATCCTTCTTCGGTCCGAATATTCTACGCAATACTTTATTTTCAAAAACCTTAAGACGCTGTTCATCCCTTAGTGCCAAGTTTCGCATCCATAAAGAACTGTAGGCAAGAAAATTGTTTTATAGATTCTAATTTTTAAGTTCCGGGACAAGAGGCGCGAACTAAGTAGTTTTGTCACAGAAAAATAACAAGCATTTCCCACCTTCAGTCTAACCTTAATCTCTTCTTCAATTTCGTTTTTTCTAGTTATCGTAGAACCTAGATACCTAAATTTCTCTACCTGTTCAAACATATTACCATCTATATCGATATCACCAGTAGTATCGCCATTTTTGCAGCTAACCATATATTTTGTTTTATCCACGTTTATTTCGAGTCCTAGTTCTTTACCGGCTTTCATTAACGTTGTCGTATTTAGTTTTATAGTTTCAACGTCTTCGCTTAACAGTACCAGATTATCAGCATAGCCCAGCACGGATGTTGTCCCGCCCAGATCCAACCCTCTCTCGGTTCGCATTACCTCCCTAATGGCATGTTCTAATGCCAAATTGAACAGGACAGGCGAAAGAGAATCCCTCAGTAAACAATAAAATTGTAAAAATCACTCCACATCTTGAGTGCAAAATGTGCAACATTATGGAAAAAGAGACACTTTATCATATTTTATTTAAGTGTCCAATATACAATTGTTTGAGGATAAAAATTAACCAGGTTATGAGAAACGTTAGTGGGATGGAAATATTTAAGCCAACCACTATAGATGATATGAGAAAATTATATTCTGTTATCTCTAATATATCTAGTTATAGAGATTTGGTGGGGTAATATCAAAATATTGTTCCTTGAATATTTTAGCGAAAATGTAGATTGGATCTCGATATGTAATCTGCTCCGGCCTTGTTTCCTTCGTATATGTAAAGAAACTGTTAATTTAATTTTAAAATATGATTTAATATTAATATTTAAAAGATAAAATTTATTTATTGTTTTATTGTTGTTATTTATGCGTTCTATTAACAATTTAAGATTTTATATTGATGTTGATAAATGGAATTTTTTACGAAATTTGATTTGTAAGTATTACCATAAGGATGGTAAAGTTTATAATACAAAGAAATTCGATGGTACGGGCAAGGCGGAATCGATAAGAAAGATTATACGATGATGTTTAGTGGTGAGAATGTCAAAAATGGAAGGAATGGTACTGGATTCATTGTGACAAGACAAGACGGAGTCTACTATCATTCGAGCCGGTTAATGCAAGGATTTGCAAAATGAGACTGAAGTGAAGATTTAGGAATGTCACCTTAATATTTGTGTATGTGCAAACTGAAGACAGTGAGGACGAGACAAAACTCGACTTCTATCAGGATCTTGAAAGGATATATTTGACAACTCCACGTTATGATGTGAAAATTGTTTTGGGTGATTTAAATGCACACATACGAAAAGAAAGCTTTGCTA